ACCGAATTTTTTATAATATATTTAGTTTATGTTTTTTACAGTTATTACCTTGGGTATTTCCCATTTCACTTAATAAAATAAAATTCAGTCCTCATTCTCAAATGTGGTTTGAGTGTGAAGTAGAAATTAAATTATAACAGAGTGAAATCTGATTTTCTACCAACTAAGATGCCTTTATTACTGGAGTTTTGCATCTAAAAAGCTCTAATGCTTTTATTAGAAATAAGAATCATACGTGGTAATTTAATAAAGACATTGTAAAATGAGGCTACTGGTGTTCTATCTTTGGTGACTGAGAATATTAATAACTGTGGGGCTGTTGCCTCTTTTGACCCAACTACAAGACCTAATTTAACTCTTTAGCTGCCCTACTTGTGTGGCTGTGCATTGTCTGGTTTCCCACTGTTAAACGCTGTGATCCACAGTGTTCCCTTAAAAAACACTAACCTTTGTAACTGATCAATCCTTACAGGTTGCTGGATGTAATTCCATATACTAGTAGAAGCACTAAAACACAAATAGAAGCACCCTCAAACAGATACAGGTTTACTAGTATTAATGTAGTTTATGTTATATGCTGCACATTTCTGCTCCAGTGGACCCATGCAAGTTTACAAATGTTTTAGGAGTTCAGGGTTTAGTAAAACTTAATCCCTTAATGTTTACTCAGCTGTAGTTTGTCAAAAAAACATACTTTTAATGGTCTTGGTATTCTAATAAATGTGATAAACTAACACAGACTGGAGCATATTGTAAGGTGGTAGTAAACATGTAAACATTTTTGCGCATTACACGTAAAAGCTTAAATGGTGTGGTGTACACTTGTGTACACAGGCTTTTAAAATGTTGAGGCAGTCTTAAACACTATGTCTCTGCTAATCTAGAGACTTGTTATTTTTCCATGTTTCTTTGCAAATTAGGTGTAAAGATATATTTCCAAATCTTTTTATTACTCACACTCACCAGTCACTTTATAAGGTACAAGTATCCAAGTGCTGGTTTACACAAATTTCTAATCAGCGACATTGCATGTATGTTGGTGCTGGACGGGATATTTTAGAAACGGTTTTTCTGCTGGGTTTTTCATGCATAACCATCTCTAGGTTTTCAGAGAATGCCAGTTTATGCCAGAGGTCAGAGGAAATTGGCCAGACTTGTTGGAGCTGATAGAAAGGCAACTGCAAAGAAAGATATGCAAAAGAGCATCGCTGAATCCACAACACATTAAACCTTGAGGCAGATGGGCTACAGCAGCAGAAGACAACACCTGGTGTCACTCCTGTCAGCTAAGAAATGATGCTACAGGCTCACCAATATTGGACAATAGAAGATTAGAAAAAATTTGCCTGTTCTGATGAGTGTTAATTTCCTCTGTGACATGTCGGTGGTATGGTCAAAATTTGGCGTCACCAACAGGAAAGCATGGATGCATCCTGGCTTATATCTACGGGTCAGGATGGTGGTGGTGTAATGGTGTGGTTTCCTTGGCATACTTTGGGCCCCTTAGTACAAATTTAGGATTATATTAATGCCCCAGCCTACTGTACCTAAGCATTGTTACTGACCCTGTACATCCCTTTATGACCACAGTGTACTAGGGATGCACGATATTGGGATTTTGGCCGATATCCGATATGCTGATATTTTTAAACTCATGTAGCCGATAACCGATATCGATACTGATGTTAAAGCTGGACAAAAATAAGTAGTCATTTAAAATAGCAGTTTTGTTATCCATTTCCGACACTTTGAAAAATAATATACTCAAATATATTTTCATATGCTGATATCAAATTGATTTTTAAAAACGCGGTATCGATCTATTTTACTTTCAAAATCTCGTGAAATTTCATCGTTCTGTTACAAACTCTCGTGATATTTTGCTAATTCTTGTGAAATTTTGTTAGTAAAATAGATCGATACCTCGTCAATATATCAACATATAAAAATATGGCAAAATTTCGTGAATTTTCGGGGGATTTCGTAGCATAACGATGACATATAGCAATATTTCATTAGTAAAAGAGATTGATATGGTGTTTTTAAATGGCAATATATCAGCATATGAAGATATTGTGATATTTTAATGTATCAATATTTTTTCCCTTGTCTTTAGAAGTTTTTAAGTCTGTAAAAAAGAATTTTTTGAGGAAGAAGAAGAAGTAGTATTTTTATTTTTTTTTAGACTTTAGAAATTCAGAAGCTGATCAAATATCGGGTTACATATCGGTGGGGTGGCCGATGTCCGATATTTAGTTTTAAGGCCGATACAGGCCGATACCGATAGGGGGCGATTATATCGTGCATCCCTACAGTGTACCAATCTACTCATGGCTACTTCCAGCAGGATAATGTACCATATCTTTTTGCCTCGCCTACTGGTTCCTTAGACCAGAGATGGCAAAAGTACTCACTTTCCGTACTTGAGTAAAAGTACAGATACTTGTGTTAAAAAATACTCTGGTAAAAGTGGAAGTACTGATTAAACTTCTTTACTCAAGTAAAAGTAACAAAGTACAGGCTTGTAAATTTACTTAAAGTATAGAAGTAAAAGTAGAAACCACTTTTTTCATGCCGTTGCCTACATTTTAAATGGATGTCTGCCAATAGGACTAGATCTCCTTTGTGTTCATTTTCAATCATCTCGTCGTCCATGCTACTATGCTAACGCCACCGCCACCAAGCTGCAATGATTTGCCGCGAATGAATACCGCCGAATCTGTCGATTCATCTTGTAGTGGTGCGTCAAATGCAACGTAGATTCCCATCCAATTAGATTGAATTTGGTATTGATGACGTGAAAAATAATAACAGTAACTCCATTGAAATTATTCAAAACAAAAGTAACAAGCCAATTTTTTAAAATGTAAGGAGTAGAAAGTACAGATATTTGTGTAAAAATGTAAGGAGTAGAAGTAAAAAGTCGCCATAAAAATAAGTAGTAAAGTAAAGTAAAAATATCAGAAAAATCTACTTGAGTACAGTAATAAAGTATTTGTACTTCGTTACTTCCCATCTCTGCCTTAGACATGAGATTGAGTTTACTGAACTCAATTGTCCAACCAGATCTCTGTCCAATAGAGAACCTGTGGGATGTGGATTATGGGAGATTTGCATCATGCATATGCAGTTGACAAATTTGCAGCATCTGTGTGATGCTCTCATGTCATGGACCATGGACCGTGAAATGTTTCCAGTACCTTCCTGAATCTGTTCCACAAAGGATTGAGGCAGTTCTGAAGAGTAAAGGGGGTTCAAAACTGTAATAGCAAGGTGTACAGTAACTAATAAAGTGCTGATATTTATCGGTTCAGCATTTATTGTTGTTGCAGAATGCTCCAATCTCAGGTCATTCTCCACCTTTTAACAAGTTTTCTTCCTGTTATTTAGCTCCAACCCCTTCCTTTAAATAAACTATGGTTAAAAAAGCGTCATGTTGATCCTGCCACCATCTTCCACAGTGGGATGACCTGTGATTAGACACCTACTTAATTGTTCTAAATGAATTTGATTTTTGGATGGTGATAATAAACGGTACCTGAATACAATCTTTAACAGTCTATGGGCCAAAGGGGAAGTACACAAAGAAATAGACCATCATACTGCCCCACATTATAAGCATGTGGATATTTTTCTTACTTTTTCTAAATGAGGTGCTGTGGATGTAGAACATTACAGTTTCTTTGCCTTGCGCATCAACTTAAAGGTTTTTTAAGTGGTGACTAACTAAGGCCTGGGATATATTCCACTGGGACCTGAGAGGGAGTACAGTATACCAGTTAGGAGATATATTTAAGGCTTTGTTTAAGAGAAGCTAAGGTAGTGTACCAGGCATTTTAGGAGAGCTGCTGAAGTGGGATCTGAGGATCTCAAATGGACTAAAATAGCTGCAGCCCAGACATGGAAGGAGTGTGTTGGTCGAACTTCTTTGCTTTAACATAAGAGCTGTTGTGCAACGCTTATTCATCAACCCACATTTCAGCTATATGCAGGACTGCATCCATATACAAAAGCTGTGAGAATCTCGAGAGGGCGAGAGTACCTCTAAACGAGGAGAAAAGTAATGAAATAGCCCCATCAATGTGAAACAGGTTTCTAGAAAATACAGTAGATCCACTTCCAAATGAAAATGCCTCCTATGAGGCCCAATAAAACAAATGAGACCCACACAATCTCGGTAAACAGAGACAAGCTTTCAACACACTGGAAGAGACATTTGCCGTGCACAGGCTAAATTATTTATAGGTCTATATCCGGATCATATTACATTTTCATATTGCAGAGTGTAATTCATTTAGTTCAAAACAAGCACTAAGTTTGTCAGTCATCCATCAGGAAACCTGACTTTTACACCAGTGTCTGTTGTTCTGATATACTGCTGTGCTGTAGGGTAAGATTTTTGCCATTTTGCAAACACTTTATCCTATAAATGTGTCATTTCAGCAAGCATTTTCAGCACCTCCATGTTTTTATTTATTTCCTGAGACCTGCTTATTTATTTAAGAGATCATTAGTCAGCAGAACAAAACCAAGAGAGCTTGTAAAGGGCTCCATTAAAAGCCAGAAAAAGCTCTTGTGTTTGATGGATCAACTTATGGAGGTAACAGCAAATGAAAGCTGAATAAATGATTTATGCCTCTGTAGGTATGGCTGGGAATAATGAATCGTATCTATCAATGTAAAAAAAAAGAAAAAAAAAGTTGGTAATCAGTTTCAGTGTGAGACCTGCCATCAATGTGAGCCCAGGAGTAAATTGGATCTGTTGTGTGATTTTGAGTTTGTGAAACATTTCTGGGAGTATAGCCGCTCCTTATTGCCATAAATACAACTTTTGTTCCCTAGAAAAAAAAAACTGAAAATCTTTCACAGCTCCAAGCTGATAACAGTCAGCACACTGGCCTCCAGAAAAGCTCACATCTGAAGCTGAACTCTGGTATTTTTATCCCTTTCTGCTCTTCTCTGTCTAAAGATATATAACTGGACTAATTTATTTTCCACAGGACTACACGCTGACCATGTATTTCCAGCAGTACTGGAGGGATAAGAGGCTGGCTTATGTGGGGATTCCTCTCAACCTGACGCTGGACAACAGAGTAGCAGACCAGCTCTGGGTCCCAGATACCTACTTCCTGAATGATAAGAAATCCTTTGTGCACGGGGTCACTGTTAAGAACCGGATGATTCGGCTCCACCCTGACGGCACCGTCCTCTACGGACTCAGGTGAAACCTTTATCTCTAAATCAGACCTGATGTGTTCATCCAAGATAAGATCTAGGTTAATAGAACCATGACTATTTAATGTCTTTTCTGTAACTTTTATTGTAGTGTTTAAATCTTACTCTCTGTATGAAGGATTTACAGGAACAAATCAAGGTGGATGTTGTGTCTAATATGCAGAGAAAAAGGTCACAGCTCTTTTTTTTCGATTGGATCAATAATATTGTAGGGTGGGCTTTTAATAAATGAATAATTTATCCGAATTTTATCTTTCTAATAAGCTCTTATTGTACCAGATATCTCAGTTTTTTTTCCTATCATTTTATTATACTATTTACTATTTAACCTTGGTTTATACTACTTCCTATGTTTTATTCCTTTGTTTTTCAGCAGGTTTGCTGCTGTGCTTAAATAATAACTTTTTTTTACTATATGATGGTACTGTTTTCTGGGTAGATGCATACCATATCCAACAGCATTCTACATACTTCTGCTTTATTTGCTGTATTTAGGGCTAGTATGGGTGCCGGTTGCACTAAAGTTGTATTTTGCATGAATAATGTCCAAAATATATATATATATATATATATGTATATATATATACATATATATTGTTGCACATATTGTTAAATCTTTTCAAAAGAAGATTAATAACCTAACAGAATCAGCTAAATGAATAAATCTATTAAGATTAAAAATACTTTTTGTTTTGGCTAGATCTAAGATTGTAAGTCACCAAGTTCATTAGGATTTTATGTGATGGACAGACATAATGTCATTTTTCTAAGGCTTGGACCCACATGCAGCAAAGCCAAACAGAGAGACACAGTATAAAGGTTCAACGGGTTTTATTGAAGAGTATATGGGTTCGGTGCAGAGTTCCTCCGAACTCTGCTCAGCCGGAACCTGGAAGACGAGGGGAAGAGAGATTGTTAGATTCAGGCTCTGTGGGAAACTGGAGTTGTTAATCTTGAAGGAGAGGATTTGATGCCACTCATGTTTCCAGAGAAGAAGAGACACGTAGACTCCAGTCTGTGTGTTGGTCTTCCAGGGAATGTTTGATTCAGTGGAGGGCGGAACAGGGTTTACCCAGAACGCGGACGGAGTGGAATGATGCAGCCGCTGGTTGCAACTCAGTTTTCCTGTGGTACTTGAACGGGTCGTGGTGAAGATGACTTCCTTACTCAAAGAGTGATCTCAGCGTGCTCAAAGGTGGCTGGATCCAAACCTCCTGTTTGGAATCCGTCGCTCAGTGTAAGACTTAGTTGATCCCACTTGGGAAAAGGCGGTCCGAAAAGGTCCAGTTTGCAGGAAGGCTTCCTGCCGAAAGGCAAAGAACAAAAAAAGTTGAGACTCAGGTAGAAAATAAGCGCTCAGTAAAACTCAATGTGATCTCTGCTTGGCTAGAGGACAAAAACTCGAAATGCAAAAACTCAGATTAGACTCAGCATAAACAAGGCTTGGCTAGAGTACCCCAAACTGGCAAACACTCTGGCGTCGAAGTAGTGGCAACCAGCAGCTTAAGAGCAGTCCGGAGACAAGGCAACAGCTTGCAGGTGTGTGAGGAGGCGAACCGGAGCCAGGCGCCTCCTGGTGGTGGAAGGGAGAAACACAAAAGACAAGACAAACAGACGAACACAAAAACTGGGATCCTGACACATAAAGACTCTTCCTGCCAACTGAGATGTTTATTTACAGGTAACAGAGTAAAGGGGACTGAATGAAATACCCATGAATTTATTCAGACTTTCAATTGCAAAAATATTTTTTCCGTAAAAATTCAAAAAATATCCACTGGACTTGGTTTTCAAATCTTGAAAACCAAGTCCAGTGGATATTTTTTGAATTTTTACGGAATGACTATGACCTGGATGACTGCGAACCTTCATCAGCAATTGCAAAAATAATTGAAACAACATCATTCCACTTCAAAATTATGCACTAGTTTGTGTTGGTTTGTTACACAGCATCACGAAAAACTCAGTTAAGTTAAAGGTTGTGTTTGTAATGTAATGTAATGTTCAAAGGGTTTGAACATCTATGAAAGGTAGAGTAGAATTTGTATTCTTTCCATATGTGCAGGGAAATGTCATGATAATCCCTGAAGTTAAAGTTCATACTTGTTATTAAAAGTATAATTTGTGTCCTTTAATGACCTAAACTTCATAACATAGGTTCCTCTCTGCAAAGCACTTTTATTATACTTTTTTTTATCTCTAAATTTACACAATTTAAGTTGAGTTCAATGTGATATTTCTACAAATATTACAAGGGAAAACTTAGCATGAGGTTAATTGTAACACAGACATTTCATTGTAATTGTTGATGGTGGAGCACTGTGTACCGTATCTTTAATTACAGATAATGTCTTAAAATCTAAAAAATACCCAGAAAAGTATTCCCTTGAAAGAAAACTGATTCAGTATAATTGATAATGTATCATTCTACTTTTTTAGGTTTAAAGAATGTATATATGTACACCGGTAACTATTTTATATTAGATACTATCTACAATTAACCACAGTATCTACAGCTATAAGATAGATAGATAGATAGATAGATAGATAGATAGATAGATAGATAGATAGATAGATAGATAGATAGATAGATAGATAGATAGATAGATAGATAGATAGATAGATAGATAGATAGATAGATAGATAGATAGATAGATAGATAGATAGATAGATAGATAGATAGATAGATAGATAGATAGATAGATAGATAGATAGATAGATAGATAGATAGATAGATAGATAGATAGATAGATAGATAGATACTATGTGTTTTTTTTCAGAATAACATTCCTGCTTTTGTGTTTTGATTTAGAATCACGACTACCGCTGCCTGCATGATGGACCTGAGGAGATACCCGCTGGATGAACAGAACTGCACTCTGGAAATTGAAAGTTGTACGTTTCAGGCCCTTTTGCTTAGTAAAGGAATACAGCAGATGGCCTTACTTTCTCATCACTTAAAATTATGAACAGCGCAGGGACTCTAATAAATAAGTTCTTACACTCATCGTCTCAAGAGGACAGAAACTGCACAGGCAGCTGAATTGCTCTGGATTTATGAACCTGTCTTATCTTGGGGAGATTACAGGCTGCAGCCTCTCCTGTTAAACTGACTTTGTCCATGCAGACTGTTTTTAAGCTGTAAGCAGAGCATGTTAGCGGTTAGTCTGTCCTCACTGGTCACATTGACATGTTTGGCTGTCTGAGCTGCCATTAAGAGAACTGACAGCTATGGATCAAATGAGCCTGAGTCCCTCTGCCTGCACTCTATCAATAATCATTTACATTTCATGATATCAGGGAATTTCAGGGTCAGATGGTTTAGAAGTAGATTTGTTTTGTTCTTCCCATATCTGCTGAGTATGATCAGGCCTTCTGCTTTGTTTTTCTCACAGACGGTTACACCACAGATGATATAGAGTTCTACTGGAAAGGAGGAGACACGGCTGTGACCGGAGTGACACGGATCGAGCTCCCTCAGTTCTCCATAGTCGACTACAAGCTTGTCTCCAGGAACGTGGTCTTCTCCACAGGTGGGTGGGAGGAAGTCATGGCTGGGGCGTCCATGTTGGGCAGAATTGTTCACAAGGTCTTTCTATTGTGTCTCTGCATGTTGCTTTATACCTTATAGCCAGCATAGAGGCAGAACGTAAAAATAACTTCTCATTCTTGTATAGTATATTATTGTAGCACACTCCCTGTACTATACCAGTATTTATCTGTTTTTATTATAATAAGTAAGAATAAGTTTAGTGCTTAATAAGACCAAATCTCAAAAGAGAACAATCAAATAATCACTCAGAGTTCCTAAAGACACATTTTATTAGCCTCTTAACATCCACCTCATTTTGGGTAATCCTTGCCTATTTTGCATACCCAAATGGAAAAGCAAATACCTTAAGAACTGTAAGCCCAAATGACATGTGCAATACATTATTTAAAAGCTAACACCCTCTAGTTTCCTAATATATAAATTAGGAAAAATTGGGTGACTAGAACACAGACTGCATCAGTTCAAACATGACTCAAAGTTGTTTTTTTTATTTCGGGAAATTATAGGTTTATGTTTAACAGCAGTAATAAAGACATTCTTGAAAAAAAAGCAGGTTTTATTGTATTATATTTGTTCTACATCATGTAAACAACAAATGCAGATAATTTCAGACCTCTAGCTATAACAGTTCCAGAGCTGTGGGGCTTTGAACTTAAAACCCGGTGGGTTTTAAGAGGTAAATTCAGTACACTGTTATCATTCATAACTCTACATGTTTTAAAAGGCTTTTTAGCACTTCAATGTTACAGATGCTTCTTAGTATATTAGAATAATGTACAAAATGTTGGATTACTTACAAGAGATTATCCATAAATTGACACCCATGTGTGTTATAAATTCACTACACATGAATCCTACAATGGAAAGATACAAGACACACATTTTTCACCTGTTAAAATGAAAGAGAAAGCTCTGAAGTTATACTTATCTGTGCATTATTAATGCATCATAAACAGGTAGACAGACTGAGAGATTTTCTTTAAATCTAGTTATAACTTTGATACCACTGTTTCCAACAAAAACAAACTGTCACCTCAGGTAAATACCAGTAAATACGTGATTCCTTTTCTGTGCTGTCATGCAGGTGCCTACCCTCGGCTGTCACTGAGCTTCAAGCTGAAGCGAAACATCGGATACTTCATCCTACAGACGTACATGCCCTCCACCCTGATCACCATCCTGTCCTGGGTGTCCTTCTGGATCAATTATGACGCCTCAGCTGCCAGAGTTGCTTTAGGTATATTTCTTGAGCTCTAAGTGTTGATTTGTTTTTTTTTGTTTTTTTTATAGAAAGAAATAAACTGATAAAGATACCGGTATTCAGAAACTGAAATCACTATACTTTGAAGATCTACAGTGCTTCAGATACATTTATACATCTCAGACTTTTACACATTTTTCAAGGTGAAACTACAAACAGTATTTTATAGGGAATGCATTGGCTACACCAATGAAAAGCAATAGTGCCTATTATATGACTGTACAGTATGGAGTGTGTTTCTTCCTTTATTGTTGTAAGAAGAGAACAAGTTTGCAAACAACATAGACAGAACTTGATTTTTTCTTTTTAATATATTTTTTCAAAAATATTTTAAAATTGTATTCTTTATTTTAAAAAAAAAACAGTTTTATGTTTTTAAACATTTTGTCATTTTTTTTTCTTCAAATTTCTTGTTAGATTTTGTCTTACAAATTGTATTTATTTCAAAGTGTGTCTTGTAGATCACATTCTCTTTACTTCAAGCCCAATAAAAACTCCCGACACCAGGACCAGTTTTAGACAAGGGTAAACAGAAGCAAGGAGCAGCTCCATAGGGGCGCTGGCCCCTGTTGGTTCTTGTCTAGAACTGGCCCTGTTTTGACCCCTGCAGAAAAGATGTGAAGGTAGATTTGTTTCTTTATTATTCAATCAAAAAAGGTTGCTTTAATCAAAAAATATATTTTCAATTAAAAAAATCTTCACTTCAATGAAAAAAAAGTTTTCAATCAAAGAAAAAAAATATTTGAATGCAAAAATATATTTGAGACTCAAAAAAACACTGCTTTTCTTTTGATTGAAAATGTTTTATTTGATAGAAGTCCAGTCATTTTTGTTTAAAGCAACTTTTTTAATTGAAGTAACATTGTTTTTTGATTGGACTATATAATGGGTAGGACATTTGTGTCCTTATTATTCAATCAAAAAAGAAGTTGCTTCAAACAAACAAACAACAGAATCAATTAAAAAAGTAACTTCAATGAAAAGATAAACGTTTTCAATCATAGAAAATAGTTTTTAAATGCAAATAAAATATTTGAGACTCAAAAAATTGTATTTGAACACTTTTGTTTATTGTTGAAAATGTTCTCTTTGGTTGAAGGGATCTATTTTGTGTTTGGGCCATACATGGGTAGGACATTTGTGTCTTAATCATTCAATTCCCAAAAAGTTGTTTCAATCAAAAAATAAAAAAATCAATCAAAGAAAAAACTGTGCAAATGCAAAAAAGACATAATGCTAAAAGAAAATTAGAAGATAAACAGGGATATGTGCGAGCACTAAAACCATAGATGATGTTACTCTGATCAGTCTTGTTTTTTTTTTGTTTTTTTTTATTTTAACAATGAGGACAATTAAGTTATCATGCTTTTCATCATCTTTATCTAAGGTTTTTTAGTTCACTTAGAATTTCAAACGATAAAGCATTGCCCTGTTCTTTGTTTCATTCTTGCATTCGATGACCCCCATTAAAAAAACAATGGACCCATCCTGCCCCCCTGGTAAATTTGGTCTAGAATCGTAACTGCCTGACACACATATCGAGCATAGAAATGTTGCTAATGTTCATGCAGACCAATACAAACACATCTCTGCATATAGAATAGAACATTTGATCCATAAAATTATATAAAAAAATTGAAAAATAAACTTGAGGGAAAAAATTAAAATAAAAAATGAAAACCTATATCAAAAAATTTTTTTTAATTAAATCTAAAACTGTAGAAAAGTTTCTTTTTAACTCAAAGGATTTTTTTTTTCATTTACAAAACTTATTTTCTTGCAACAATAAAGGAATAAAATTCCTTCCAAAGTGAAGTGGACACTAACGTACGGTCTTATATTTTAATAACGTAAGATCAAGTTAAATCTTAAAACTACCTTGGTTTTCTTAACTGACTTGTATTTTTGTCCCTATATTTAACAGCTTTTCAGGATTAAATAACCCAAAATATTTTATCAGCTCAAACAGGAAGTTTTATTTTTTTATTGTGCTTTTTCATCAATCAAACATTTGTTGTGAAATCAAACTAGTATAAACAGTTACTTTCTACAAAATCTGGATCAATTTGTAGATAAAATGGGAAAAAATGTTAACGAGTTCAACTATACTATAAAACTTTATTCGATGCTTCCTGCATTTCAATAGAAAAATATGGCAGAAGTTGTTCCCATCAAGCAGGATAAAGATGCACTCTCGTTGTGTGATAACATACTCATGTTTATCCACTGGCTGATGGGACTGAAGCGAATGGATCCAGCAGATAGGGAACTCCTTACAGAGTCTTTATGACGTGTGGTTGTTCCAGACTGTGGGTGGAAATTTGCTGAAAGCTTGGACTCCTCCAGTCATAGAGTCAAGATTACAGCTCACTGTTTCCTTTTAAAGTAACATTTTAGAATCAGTGTCAGTTGTCCTTGGTGAAAAACACAACACTGCTTCTACGTAACTTAATTTCCTTAATGGAAACATCCTGAGCTATCTCTATAGTTATGCTGCTATAGGCTTAGACTTCTGGAGGACATAGGGACCCCCATTTCATCATTCTGCTTCATTCTCTCTCTGTTCTCCTATTCTGCAGAATCTGTTAGTTCAATCTCTAACCTTCTGCTCTCTCTGCTTTTCCTCAGAGTAGCTTTGCCTCGTCTGTTCCTGTTTGGCTGTGACGTCATCCTGGAAAGAAACATCAGCTGTGCTGCTTCTATCAACACCCTTGTTTATAGATGTTGGAGATCGGCCTGTTTTCCAGTGTGGTCCTGTTTCTCTGACCGTGACTGAGTGGATGTGCTTTCTTCGTCCTCTGGCATGGGAGCTGCCTTGGAGCTCGTCTGCCTGGCTGTGTGTTTCCTGGACGGGGCCGCCTTTTACAGCTGCTTTTTGTATCTCTGCTTCTGTCTCCTTGAACCCCAGTCGGCCTCGGCAGATGGCCGCTCACACTGAGCCTGGTTCTGCTGGAGGTTTCTTCCTGTTAAAAGGGAGTTTTTCCTCTCCACTGTCGCTACAAGCATGCTTAGTGTGGGGGATTGTATTTGAGTCAATGAGTCAATGCAATCAACTGGTTTTCCTTAGATAGAAAACTTTGTATCAATTTGATCTGGTTGAACTGTAAAGTGCCTTGAGATGACATGTGTTGTGAATTTGGCGCTATATAAATAAACTGAATTGAATTGAATTGAATTGAAACTCATTCAGGCTTCGCTACACTCTAAGTGCTCCCCGCGTTAGAAAGAGCACATTATGGCAAGCGATCATTAAATCTCAGCTGCACATACAAAGAGATGAAACAGTGTTGAGTATTTCAGGAGGTGAGGCGAGCAGCTATAGGTTTGAAAGATCTGACTTGGATATATATATGTAACAGCAAACTCTTGTTCATGTTCTTCAATTGTATCTTCTAGATGGTGATTTACTGCTGCTCCTTTTTCTGCTGGTGGGATCTCACAGGGTGGCTCTCATGCTTCATATACTTCTCTCATCAGATGCTTACATCCTCTCATTGTTGGGATTATTGCCACATAACGTTTGGGTTTTAAAGATGTATTTGGAAACTTTTTTTTTCCAGGTTGGAAAAAAGATGATACTTCATGAGTTAAAAAAAGTACATTTAAAGTTTGAATTTGTTGTAGATTATCTACATATGATAGCTGGATGTTAGACATTTTTTCCATATCTTACAAATGAATTCAGAAATATACAATACAGACAACCTTTGGGATAAATGGTCTTCTCCTAGTTGCACAAAACCCACAAAAGGCATTTATCATCGTCTTTGTTGTATCATACTAACGATCTGTGGCTGATACATGTTTTTTGGGAGAGAATTGGATACTGGAGATACAGCAAGGAGGAGAACTGAATACAGAATACATCGTTAATTCCCTGCCACAGAAAGCCCTATTAAAACATATATAATTAATTTTTAAGTGTTTCCTTATTATCACATTTCTCTCTTCAGTAATCAGCAGCGTTAGTTTTACTAAAGATAAATACATAAATGTTACAAAGTGTGAGGAGTTCACATAAATTGCTTTAAACATTTAAATACAGCCTGTCTGTGATGGATGATTTAACTATGCAGGCAACTTTAAAATGGGGGAATTTGGAGGGAATGAATTTTCAGAGATATGAAACGTTTCTGACTCAAGGTGATGACTTATTTATGGCTAATCAAACTCCATAGAACAGGGGTCAATGTTTTCCAGACCAATGACTCCCAAACTGATGGTGAGATGGAGCAGGGACCCCTAATTATATATATTGTTTGAAATTGTGTTTAATCAAACTGGTCCTATAGTCACTCTATTACATATGGAGTAATGTAATGAAAGTAATTTCACCCTGGGATTATTAAAGTATTTCTGATTCCTGGTTGATGGGACAGGTGTTGTGAATGAAACAGTGTCCAGCTTGAAGGAGCTCCTGTGTGTCTCTGAATGTGTGCATTGATGACTGAAAGACATCTTCTGCCTCCATTTATCTCTTTACTACAGTCTGTTGAATTCATGTTAATGTGGATTTAAAGACATTTCAATTAGTGGAAAAAATTGCAGGGGGGAATATAAAAAAAAGTGTAATCAACCAAAAATTTCGCAACCCCCATGCAGTACCTCTGTGGACCCCCTAGGGGTTGCGGAGCCCCTGTTGAAGACCTCCGCCATAGAGCATTGCTCTGACCCGTTGCACCCACACCATCCCTGCTCATCACCATTCCTGCCTATCACAAGTGTTAAACAGGAGGAGTTCAGTGCACATAACTCCGATGCAGACAAAAGGAAAGGGCCACTGGGTGTGCCGTTCTCAAAAACCCACACAATTAAATATAAATAAACAATCCATGGTACATATTTGATTTTAAATATATTTATGAATTATCAGTATAAATAGTTAAATGTCTGTTACCGACGAAAATGGATGAGGCTTCATGATGCACGCATTTTATTAAAGATCCAAATTAAGAAAGAAGTGTGTGTAAGTTCCCAGCTTCAGGTCATGGCACCAAAAAACAGGCCTAGATTGGAAGGAAACCAGAGTTTCACTCAGGATTCTGTCAATTCTGTTGGCGTACATCAATTCCGTTCAGTTTATTTATATAGCGAATGGATGTCCTTCCTGTGCATGGCACAGCATAGGAGAGCCAGTAACCCTGGGCATGATTCAGCAGTACACTTTCATCTTAAAGGAATAGTACACCCAAAACATGATTAGCCTTCATTTTCTACTCACCCCCATGCTGAACAAAACTCTGGAGTACTTTTTTTATATCTCAAATGCATCTGGAGATCTGGGAGGCTTCTTGTTGTCTGCTGACATTCAAATAATGGAGGTCTATGGTGCCCGAGACAGAAAGGTCCATAAAAGTCCACAAAAAACGTGTCAATATTCCTCCATACTGCTCGTCCAATGTATTCCAAGTGTCCTGAGTGGGTAGCATCCAGAATTTACTCGAAACGAAGTCATTTAGAATGTTTTTAGAGCATAAACAGTAGTGTATAGGATTTCCTGAAAGCGCGCACATGCGTGATCACGAGGCTACGGAAGCCGGCAGACCAAACCAGATGAAAGTGCGCATTCAGCATCTGCTCTGACAATAATGCAAGCGTAGAAGAAGAAATGTGCTGTTTACCTGTGCAAAGAAAGAAACAACGAAAGAAAAATGTCTGAGGACTTCAGTGTTGAGGAAGAGCATGAGTTCTTTGCCGAGCTGAATGCGCTGGACTTTTATGGACCTTTCTGTCTCGGGCACCATAGACCTCCATTATTTGAATGTCAGCAGACAGCAAGAAGCCTCCCAGATCTCCAGATGCATTTGAGATATCAAAAAAGTACTCCAGAGTGTTGTTCAGCATGGGGGTGAGTAGAAAATGAAGGCTAATCATGTTTTGGGTGTACTATTCCTTTAAGCACTAAGGACTTACCTTTGAAGACTAAAATATTTTGATGTTGGACAGAGGGGACAGATTATTTGACAGAGAGGTGAAGGAAGCCATTTTTATTTATAGGGAAAGGATTTACAATTTATTCATACACCTCAACCCAAAGAAATTACATAAAGTTTTTTTTATTAATTGCAGCTGTTAACATCTCTGTGGTTCCTATTGGCTCTTAGCAGCTCGAACTTGAGTTAACCAAAATCAACAATTAATTTTCATGAAAGCATGAAGCCGCCTTTCATAAAATATTTCTGTGAATATATCAATAAAGCTTAGGTATTACAGCTTAAACCTTAATACTGCCCGGATGTTCAGTCAAATACTTTATTTAATTTACTGCAGCAACAAGACATATTTATCTAACTTCACCTCACACACTAGCACTCCAGGTAAAGTGCTCTTTTTTTTTTTTTTTTTGCATGGTAACCATTAAATAACATTGATGTGCATGGACCATTTATGGTTGAATGTGAGAGTAAAGAGGGGTGAACATGTGGTGCCTTGGACCCAAACTTTGAGGTATAACTGTGATTTATAAAGGAAATTTTCTTAGTATTGTCCATGTTTACTCTTTTTGGCATGCTCCATTTTTGGCTGTTTGACCCACGGATGTTGGATTGCGCCTATTTCTCTGAGGTTTACTAGCTAGTGCTATGGCTACAGCCCGAGACAGTTGGTACATAAATAAAGCGAGAAGAACACCAACATCTGAAGCCCGCCTTAGTGTTAAAACAAGGTTCTATAGCATAAAAATAGGGCCTTCATCGAGTCTCTGAGGGAAAGACCAGTGAAGCCTATTCGTACCCCTACTGCAATTTACATCACATGTCATCTATTAGACCACCATCCACTTTAGTAGTTGAGTTTAGAAATCAATGTCTTCTTGCTCTAAACACCAAACACTTTGTGTAAGCTATGGTTGAAAAGAAATATATGTTGGTGCAAAAAACAAAAATGTTTCTTCTCTGTTTTACTGGTTTTGTTACAGTTGAAAACTTTATGTCAGTCATGTGCTGCGTTTAGGGTTCTCTCACATTTCTGTATATTTGAAGCAGAGCTGAGCCTGTTAAGTTGAGTGCGTATCAGATAGAGAAGGAGGTGCAGTGACCAGTAACATCACATGTTGCTAATCGAATCGTCTTTAAACCGTTATTTTGATTTCTTCTAGGGATCACCACTGTGCTGACCATGACAACCATCAACACCCATCTTAGAGAAACCCTCCCCAAGATCCCTTATGTGAAGGCCATCGACATGTACCTGATGGGCTGCTTCGTGTTTGTTTTCCTGGCTCTGCTGGAGTATGCCTTTGTCAACTACATCTTCTTTGGACGTGGTCCGCAGATGCAGAAGAAACTGGCTATGAAAGCGCTGAAGGCAAATAATGAACGCAATACATTCGACCAACCCAAGGTGAGAAGCGTAGTCCATCAGCTTACGAAATAAATCAACTTTGCTAATGTGCACCTAAATGCATTTATGTTTTCAAATATTTAATCAAACAATATTTTGTTTCAGACTACAGATTTAGCAGTGAATTTGAGTGTGACCATTTTCATACAGCAAACTTTCCACATTTAACGGAATAAGTTTACAAAAACTCTCATTTAAAAAAAATAGAATTTATCAACAATAAGAATTCAGTTTGGATTAAAAAGTTTAACAAAGCCAGTGAAACTAAAGTTAAATGTTATTATGAATAAGCAGCAGGTACAAATGGAAATGTTCCAGAGAGGTAGAAATAAAAAACACGATTATTCAAATTAATGGTACCCTAACAGGAAATTACTTTGGAAAAAGGAAAAGTCACTGTTTACAAAAGTACGTAAGTAAAAGCAGAATTTTTTTTTACAATGATATTAAAAGGATAGTACTTTAATAGAGGCAAGGCTAAATGCTTTTGTTGGCCCCCTTACTTTACACAGGTAAAAACAAATGGAGGTAGAATTTGTTGAAAATCTGCATTAGCCACAGAAGGACATGGAAATCAAAAAGTACATTCCATAAGAACTCAGAATAACATGAAAACTATCATATAGATTGACATGCATTCACAACTGTGCTGTCAGGGTGAGAAAACTAAAAGTGTCTTCTATCCATCCATCCATTTTCTGACATGATTAATCCCAATTGAGGTCGAGAGGGGTGCTGGTGCCTATCTCCAGCTGTCTACGGGCGAGAGACGGGGTACGCACTGGACAGGTCGCCAGTCCATCGCAGGTGTCTTCTACAGGAATACAATGAAATGTGTACATTCAGCCTTAAATAGAATTGTTTAGCATTAAATAAGTTTACAAAGGTACAAATAACTTTCTCACCCCTCTAGAGGAATAAAAGATATGAATGTTTCTTTCTTTAGAAAAGCATACTCCAAAAAAAACTTTAAAACTTGGCAAATACCCAAAATGAGTGCAGACCAGGACAAGTTTTTCTTCTCTTGTTCAAATGCAGATTTCTAATAAACAATTCTTTTCAAGATAAATTCCGGTCATGTTTAAAATTTTATATAATAATAATGTTTCAGATTTCTAAGTAAAGCAGTTAGGGTACCGTATTCATGTCTCTAATGAAAATAAAAACAGAAGACTTGATTTAAAAAACAAAACAAAGTAAGGCACAGATACTCAAAACATCCATCTATCCATCCATCCATCCAACCATCCATCCATCCATCCATCCATCCATCCATCCATCCATCCATCCATCCATCCATCCATCCATCCATCCATCCATCCATCCATCCATCCAGGCACGTATGCCCTCATAATAGTACCATTAATAGTAGCTAAAATTAAACATGAGAATGCTAGCAGCATAAAATATGAATCCCCTAGTATGTTGTGGGCAATGAAAATCAATGAAAGAGCTGTAATGTAAATAAAGACGCTAATGGTTGACAGACACAGCGTGACCCGTAGTTTTAAAGGACAATTTGGTCATAATTTAGCAATAAGCACATAAAAAACACAAATTGTAACGCGTTATCAAACCCTTTTTTAAATAAAGTTTTACATAACTATAAAATAACATTTAAAACCTATTAGCATCTGGTTCAAGGACACCAACATGCGATAGTTATTAGAGTTACTAGTTACTAGTTCAGTTGGGTTTTTAAAAACACTGTAAAAACACATCATACGTATTGAAAGAACATCCATAAAAATACTTCTGCTAGAAACAACGTTCCCTATTCCTGTCAAATCTGCTACCGCTATTCATGTCCGTCCTGAGGAGGATGAGAGGTTTCCAATTGTCAGGAATCTTTAGGTATGTCTGTGATCTCTAGCCTGCATGAGAGGGCAGCCCTGTGGATGGAGAAGGCCCTCGCCCAATCTGCCTGATCTCTGGTTTCAGTCTTCGCTGCAAGACTCAGGGAAGGAATAATGTAGACAAAGCAATAAGTTGATCTTAAACTATAAAATAGCAGCACTGTGCTATTTGTGTCATTGTTGAGTAGTGGGGAGCACTGCTTCCCTGCAGCAAAAAGGTTCCAGTTTCGAGTCCTAGCTGCATGGAGTTTGCATGTTCTCCCTGAGCATGTGTGGGTTCTCTCCAGGTACTCCTGCTTCCTCCCACAGTCCAAAAACATGGCTGGTTAATTGGCTTCTCTAAATTCTCTGTAGGTGTGAGTGTGTGCATCAATGGTTGTTTGTCCTGTTTGTCTCTGTGTTGCCCTGTGATGGACTGGCAACCTGTCCAGTGTGTAACCCACCTCTCGCCCATAGACAGATAGTTTGGGATGACAGAAAAAGGATGGATAGATGTTTGTACTAAATATGGACTCTGATATAGCGACAAGAAATTTGAATGTACTTTGTTCTGTTTTGAACAGAATCGTCAATGCTGATAAAGTTAAAGCAGCTATAGTTTTATTAGATGTCACATTCAATTATTTATATACTATGTAAAAAGACAAATAGTACAAAAAATATGAATATGCTTAGGTTGGTTTTCAGTCTGTGCTGTGTTTGTTTTTTCTGGTGGCAGTGCTTTTGTAGCAGATTGTTTAAGCTGCTGATTCAAACTTTGTCGTCACTGTTGATTGGTGTTTACTGCTGCTGACTAGGGCCAGATAGTCTCCATCTTTTCAAGTCAGCATTCAGGCAATAAGGTTATCTGAGGCTTTCACTTAATCTTTACTGCAGTATCATCTAGAGTCAGTGTGACAACAGAGACTGTAAAAATAGTGTTATAGTAAATGCAAAGTAAATCATACAGTTCTGGTCTGAGGTAAGAAGTTACATACAAAGGTTATGGCTATGGCCATGACCTTCTTTCAGGTTTTTAAATATGGTTTTATCATTATCCACACTGTGGATGTTTCTTTAATATTCACGGTCAAAATTATACATGGATGCTTTACATACACCCGGACTGTTATCTCACCCTCACTATCAGCTGTCTGGACATACTGTATTGCAAAATTGTTACCGTTTCCAACCCTATAATTATTTCATGAAAAGCACATTGTGATTTTTATCTGTTAAAAGTGCTTTATAACTATATTTTACTTACCTATTTAATAACATAACTTCTGGAATACTTCTGTGTGGATACCACTCTTATTGGTATATTTATACCCTTTTCCCTCTGTCCGAAAAACCTGTTTAAACCCAGAGAACAATCGACTTTTAGTAACAGTGGAAATTCCTCACTGACCCGTGTCGACCCGGGTCAAATGACTAAGACAGCGACGAGGGTTAAAATCGGGTTAAAAATCGCATTTAAACAGCTCCGATAGGCTTTCAGTTGGAAAATCATACCTGGGTTGACCCGTTAATTCACATGACACCATTAAGCACAGCGTACAGACGTCAACACACTGCGCCAGTCCTGTCTGATATAAAAAGCCAAAACAACTGTGCTTGTATCCAATAAACATGGCTCAGCACTGGTGAGAGAGATTCAGAGGGACAAAAAAACAAAATAATAAAGAAAACTTGCTACACCCTGGATTCCTTCCATGTTTGTCTCCATTGTTTACTTTGCAGATTTTTATCACACTGGGGACATAATCAATGCTAACCGGATGGCGTCACCAGACACACAGCAGTAGGGGGACAGAGGCCATGCAGCTGCCAGCTGGGGGTCAGGCCCAACTTTTTTAGCCAATCGGAAAGAGCTGAATGCTGATTGTTAAGCCGGTCATTCCGTGTTTGAAAAACCAGCGTTAAACCAGTAATTTCAGTGGGAAAGAGGCTTTAGAGTATCCTTTTATACATTTCTGGGAAAGAAGAGCAGAAGAAACAGGAAAATCTAATACAGTACCAACACTAGAGATTTATGGCAGCTCAATGTTTTTGTGCAATCTGACCAGCAGATTATGAATATATTAGTTACTAGAACTGGAACTTACAGTTAATTAATATGTCACCAGAATCAAGGATCAAACCAAATAACAATCATTAGTTTAATGGTTCTAACTGGAATCTGCTTACGTGTCAGATTGGACAGCGGGACCAGCTGTTAAAATCTAGTTTGTCTTCTCCACCAATAAATTTAGACTAGGTGCCAGCTCCGTGGAGTATATAACACCAACTCTTCAGACAAAAGATAAGATAAAAGACAAAGCAATCAGTGCCGGAGAAAGCAAAACACATTCAGTGCAAAACTCTTTCAACCCAAAACCATCAACCTTTGGCGGTTACACAACAGTGACTCGGCAGCGACTGGGCAAGGACTGATTGAAGGAGATTGCAATGGTCGACCAGGGTGGAAAAAAACAGACAGCTTTTCCCATTGGCTCCAGGGCAGGTGGGATTGCAATGAAGACAATATGGTTAGCTTGATCTGACCGTAGTCTATTGTGGGAGCAATCTAGGCTTGTTCAGAGGAAGGAGAACATGTGACATGGTTTCAGACCAAGATGTACGTTTCCCCATTTCAGACAGAAGAAAGTTCGGAAAGAGCTGCACATAGGTTTTAAAGGGGTACAAAGTCATAGGGGTGGCCTCGCTTATGTCATAGAGGACATTTGATCATTTTTTCTATTTTTATTTATTTATATTTATTTGTATGAAATGTAGGCAGTTATTTTATGTTTTGAGTACATAAGGTCAGGGATGGCAAAGAAGGCTTGTATTAATCTATGGTTAGTTTATGGTAATAAAATAATACATATTATTTTGGGGGGCTTGATGTAGTGGATTACACTACTTTGCTGCTGGGTCTCTCCCTGGTTCTCCTCCCAGAGGAACGTGCCTGGAACACCTCACCAGGGGGACGGCCAGAAGACATCCTAACCAGATGTCCGAGCCTCCTCAGCTGGCTCCGCTCGACGTGGAGGAGCAGCGGCTCTACTCTAAGTCCTCCCCGGATGACTGCGCTCCTCACCCTGTCTCTAAGGGAGAGTCCAGACACACTACGGAGAAAACTCATTTCAGCCGCTTGTATCCAGAATCTCGTTCTTTCGGTTATGACCCAAACCTCATGACCATAGATGAGAGTAGGAAAGTAGATCGACAGGTAAAGAGAGAGCTTTGCTTTTTGGCATAGCTCTCTCTTTACCACAACAGATCGGTACAGCGCACGCCTCAAAGCAGATGCCACTCCAGTCCGCCTATCAATCTCCCGCACCATCTTCCCCTCATTCGTGAACAAGACCCCAAGATACTTAAACTCCTCCACTAAGGGCACTACATCCTCCCCAACCCGGAGAAGGCACTCCACCCTTTTCCAGCTCAAGACCTTGGTCTCGGATTTGGAGGCACTGATCCTCATCCCAGCCGCATAACACTCGGCTGCGAACTGCTTCAGTGAGAGCTTTAGATCACGCCCTGATGAAGCCAATAGAACCACATCATCTGCGAATAACAGAGATGCAATACTAAGGCCACCAAAACGGATCCCCTCAACACCTTGGCCGCACCTAGAAATTCTGTCCATAAAAGTTAAGAACAGAATCTGTGAAAAAGGGCAACCTTGGCGGAGTCCAACCCTCACCGGAAACCAGTCCGACTTACTGCTGGCATTTTGGAACATAAACTTCATTAGCACCTTCTAGTATTAAACCAGTGTTAAATCTTTTCTACTGTACACAGGGACACTGGTAGTCCAACACTTTCCATTTCATGGTTGGCTAAAGTCACAGTGGTTCTTAGGTTTTTACGGCCAAATATTTTTTAAGCCTTGATATACAGTATATTTGGTGCTCTATGCATATTTTTAATTCTGTTTTGACTGAAGAGATTCAATATTAAATTCAAAACTAAATATATATATTTTATTTTTAAGATGTTTTAAAGTAGTTAATTGTAAAATGTTTTGCCAAATTTGTTTTAATCTGTTCCTTTCTGTCTGTAGTGCATTATTTGATAAAGAAATATCAATAAAAATGACTTTGGCTTCAGTAACACCAGTAGGAATCTACTAATGGGTGTCCTCTTCGAAATAATTGTTATCAGTTGTTTGATTTTGACTAATTTTTTGTTAAAATGCTAAAAGAACACCCTTTATTTGTCTTTTTCTCCCCAGTCCATCCTGGAAGGAGTTAACTGCAAGACCTCGTCGTCTCTTAATCAGTCCAATCAGGTACAGAGTCGCCGTCATTCACGTCAGGTGAGTATCTGCCCCTGCCAGCTGTGTAACATCTGGCACTAATGAAACTTTGCAGCTGCAGAGCAAAGTTGACCTCATTACTTAATTTAGAGATGCAGTATAATCACAGCAGCTCCTAACAGCCACATTGTTCCCATAAGGTATACTCCTCTCCACACTGCCTTACCATTAGTAGAATGTGTTCTTTGTTATCAGTGAGTGCCTCTAAGGTCCTAAACAATGACTTCAACACAAGCAAATCCCTCCATATCATCTGTGGTGTCCATTCAATTTTACTAGTAGTTGTTTATATTTAAAATTCAGCATGAATTAATGTAAGGGACGAGGTGTCAGTTATTAGAAAAGAATGGACACTTTGAAGGACATTATCCATCTTACACCATGGTTGCTTGCAAAATAAATGAATAGTAAATAAATTAGTTTTTTCCCCCCAAGGTAATCAGCTCCTGCCACAAAACCTGCAGCTCCAGTGGTTAATTAGGTGTAGAGAAAAGTGAGATGATTTGTAACGTTAAGTGCTATAAAGTATCATTTTATAGTGTAAGTGAACCAGGGGCGGACTCTGATGAAGGCCCTCTAAAAGAGAGGGCTGCAGCAGTGTTACTCTCAAGTGGTACGTTCTAACTAATTTTACATTTTAATTGTTCAGATTTTAACAAAAACTGACAACAAAAATTTGATAATTTATTATTCACATCAATATACTAACATTAAACATGATAAACACAAATGAATTTAATGCTCTTTTCAGAACTAGATTTTGTGTTTAATCTAGAAGTGTAATTAGAGATAAAAAAAAAACAGCAAAGAAAAATGAAAGTATAGGTACAGTGTGCTGGGGAAGACTCTCAGTCATCCCGGTCATAGTCAGTCCAAAAAAGTTTTTAAAAAACCCACTGGACTTTGTTTTCCAAGTTTGAAGACGTTTGAAAGCAGTGTGAAGGAAGCCATTTAGAGAGAAAACCCAACCTTAAACAAAGGGGGTGGTTTCAGCTCTTAAAACCTGGTACGCAGCAATAGAGTTGATTGATCTTAATCCTCATCGCTATGCAAGGAACTAAAACATCTCCTCTGGTCAGCCAGGCCAATAATGACCCTAACGACTCCCCCTTTTCAGAGGCATAGGCCAGTATCGGGTATTGCAGGCTGACAAAAATCTCAATGACTCCACATTACTAAGGGGTGGACCTGTTCTTATGATTTATTTTTATGTTTTCTAAGCCATAACAAGGCTTTTGTTAGGCTACTCTATAAAGCTCGAAACTCATCGCTTATCCAGACATTTTGAATTTAAAAACCTCCTGGATAGAAGCGAAATATCTTCAGACTTTTTTCAGTGTTTAGTTTTTTTTTACTTCTTTGTAATATAGGTACAGTGGATGATTTATTTCTGAAAATGTAGGAAGAAACCCCCAAGTCATTTTTTGCATCACTGCACATGTGCAAGACCATCCTACCTGCCCGATGTCATCTTGAAGGGATCTACTAGATACACTCTGGTCCATATTTCTTTCTTCTAAAGGGCTGGTTATCCTCCCGCAGCAGTGTGTCGCAGTGAGCTTGTCGCAGATATTTCTGATTTATGCCCAATTTTGAAGCATGGTCTGTGCTCTGTTATTCCACGCCACAACGCAAGAGGGATAATCACGAACTAGCTGTGGGTCTACTGTAGGTATGGCCGAGGCGGTGAGGAAGCTGGGGAAAGTTTGTGCGACAACGAAGGGAGATGAGGGCAACAAAGAGCAGGGATCCAGGTGAAAAAAAGTGTCCCTGCGTTCTCGCGCACCTCGCTCTTCTAGCTGGTCCATTTTCACAAGTTGTGTTCCTTAATGGCGGTCATACAAACAAAAGAAACCAGTAAGGTACCAAACAGGAAATACGCATAGTGTAGAGCGGATGTAGATTTGACCAATCAGATGCCTCCTGTCTGCAGCACTGTCTGCGATCACCTACAATTTTTGAGAGGTACAGCGGAGTGTCTGCAGAAGGGGCGGGGGCACATTTGCATTCACTGCGACACACAAGGAGATAACCTGGCTTCTGAGTATAAATCAGCCTTAAGGCTTTCCTCTATTTCTCATAAACGTGTAAGGCTGCTTTTTCTGACGTTTTCAAGTACAGCAAGAGCTGGAGCTAGCTGAAGCTAAATCTAACTGGATACACAAAAACTAGAAGTCTATAGGAAGAGCACACTAATAAGTAAGAGGATCCCCCTGGAATCCGAAGCCTAAAGCAGATTGTCCACTTTACCTTTAATTAAGACAGCATTGGTGAGCTAATATACGTGTTTACTTATAAGCAAGGGCTTTATAAAAAATGAGTTTGCCTTTATTTGGAAATGAAGATGTTGTGCTCATTTATTTTCCTGTTGGTACTGTGTGGCTTTCAGCCATCTCTCAGTGCACATTGTTCCCTGCCTGGCTGCCTCTATAAAAAACGTCCTCTTGTCACTTGAGCCAGCACAATTATTTAAAACAACCAGGCCGTTAAACTGGAACTTGTTTTATCTGGTTACTCCAGAGAGCAGCCAAGCAAACAGAACATTCATATAATGTGCAAATTGGTCACAACAAGAAAGTATGGTCATTAGTTTTAATCAGCGTGAGCTATTCTGTTATCTGTTTGATGTTATTCTATGATAAATTACCATTTATGCTTAAATTCATTGTTTGTGGCTTTTAAGTCTCAGTTCTAAGACATAATAGATGCCTATATATTTTTTCTCTAAAAGTGTTCAATATTATAAAGAGGAAGTGTGAAGTGTGTTACTGTCTGAATCCATTATTTATGGGCTTTAAACAATTTCTCCATTCAAGCCAATGACATAAAACAAAAGGTTAGCATCATTAGTTTGCCGTTTCTACAGAATTAAAATTAGGTTGTGTGAAAGGTCTTTAGAAGTTACTATCCCACCAGTAATGGTTAATTTATCAGGTTAATCATGATAAATTGATTATTGAAATGATTGCTAACTAAGTTAGTAATGGTTTAATCTTTAACTGGAGTGTTCATACTCTAAAATGTGCAATTTGCTGAAAGAACAACCCCTTCCGAGCAGTAACTAAGCCCAAACTGTTCAACAAATGATTAACTTTACAATTAACATAAAAAAAAAAACTGTGTCTTTAAATATGCTCTTAGCATTCACTTATTTCATGTTCAAGCATTTATAAAGATTTTCAAATGTACAATAAATGTTTGTTTTATTAATTTCAAACAACTTTTTTTCTTTAAGTACGCTAATTTATTAGGGATATATCTTGTAAGATTAATATATTAATTGAGAAGGGATTAGATTCATTTATTAATAAAATAGTTGTTAGCTGCCGCCCTTCTTTAATTATTATAAATCTGTGTTTTATCTTCCTGGCATTATTGCCTTACAATAGCCTGGCATGGCCTCTATAAATGGTTTTTATGGAGACTCTTTGTGGGCCTCAAGGTGCTGCAGTTTGCTGCAGTTTTACAATAGTGAGCTGATGAGTTTCTTTTTCTTTCTTTTTTTTGTTTGCTTCCTTCCTTTCCTTCCTGCTCACTGTGCAATATTGCAGGATAAGTAGTGGTCGTCATTCAGGCTAGTGTCTAGTGGCTGGAAACAAATTAGGTGTCTGTGTCACCACATATTTATACCCCGTGGATAACAGAATGTTGTGGATTAATAATCAGTTACTAGAACCTGACCAATAGGAAAAACTGTACATTCAAAACTTAAATTTATAAGTCAATATTCTGTTAAAACTATAAGTTTTCTTTGCTGGATAAACAGATTTTTACCAGGGGTACCAAATTAGTCCACATGTGTACTGATGTATGAAGTTATTATCAAACACAATGAAACAGGTTTGTATTGTGAGTGAGTAAGTTATAGTGGTTTAAATGGAAAAAAGGTCAGTTAAACACGGTTTAAATAATGGATTTGTGGGTTTTTATACCTGCGCTTGTGTCTGTTTGCATCCAAGCTTTCTGTGTTTTATCTATTTCTGTGTGGAAAGCTGCAGTCACCATGACATTAGTAAGGGATGGATCCAGTCCAACCTTGATCTGTTTTGTGACTGTTTGTAACTCTGCTGCCGTCTGTTTCCTCCCAGGTCGATTCCCATGGGAACATTTTGCTGACAACCTTGGAGATCCACAACGAGGTGGGGGTTAATGAGATCACCACCACCCTGAGCGAGACACACAACTCCACCTCCATGACGTTCGACAACTCTGGGGTCCAGTACAGGAAGCCGAGCGCGCCAAATGAATCGTGCCGACTCAGCCTGGACAGGAATGCACACCTTAAGAGAACCCGCCTGAGGAGACGATCGTCACATCTCAAAATCAAAATCCCGGACCTCACCGATGTGAACGCCATCGATAGGTGGTCCCGGATCATATTCCCCTCAGCCTTTTCCCTCTTCAACCTGATCTACTGGCTTTATTATGTCCATTAACACACTGTGCTTTTGTAACCCATCTTTGTTCCATTCTGGTTGTGGAATGGGAGGCGACTTTTTGATGTGACACACGGCTGTGGCGGCAAAATCAGAACATGTAAGCTCATAGCAAGTGCGGACTCTGGCAGAAGAGCCGTCACTCAGACTGTGCAATGTAACCTGGATTTAACATGCGTGTAAAGACATCCACTTCCTGCTTTGACTTCTGTAACCAGCTTGGAGACAAAAAGATGATTTCAACCACAGGAGATCTCTCCCTAAAACACCAGTGTTTGATTAAATTCTGTTTATTGAATAATGCATCTTTATTCATTTATCTTCATTTTGATTTTTATGGACATTCAGATTTATACTTACAGAATTTGTCTTAATCTTTGGACATTTTGTGTGTTTCTTTCTGAGTGGAAGGGGGGGGGGGTGTTGGGGGGGTATTTATTTGTTAGGATTTTTACCCTTTGAACTTTTTCACATTTTGTCACATAACCACCACTGGTGGTTTGAATGTATTTAATTGGTGTTTCCTGTGATAGAACAACATAAATTAGAGCATCATTGTGTCATTAAAGAAAAAAATAAACAGTTATAAAGAATATAGTTTGCAAAAGAATCTCAAAATATTATTTTCACTTTGTTTTCTAAAAAGCAAACAGCTTTTTCGACGGTTTAAGGTATTACTGTTGATTGCCATATCCAGAGACGACCAGAGGCACAGATTGATTGGGTAGAGAGTGCAGTATAAATACATTTTTTTATTTTGCTACGGCCTTTCAGGTGTATTCAGTTCTGGACTTTGACTGGATCTTTCTAATGCAGAATCATTCTATGAACTAAATGACTATTGTAGCTGTGATTGAGTGCTTCTGATCAGTGTTAAACTTACTCTTTGTTTAGCTCCAATCTGTATGCTGACAAACTTTGAAGTTGATGAGGTCAAGTATGGCAGAGAGGGACTCTTTCGAGGGAAAATATTGATTTCCAGTTCTGAGTGGTGGGACTTTTATAATATTAACATTTTGCTTTACAGTATTGTCGGGAAATCGAAGGGGATCAACACTTAACAGTTGCAAGTATGCAAACTTTGAGACCTTGTTATTCCCCTTCACCAAACTCCAAAACTCACAATGTTGATCACTTTTAGTCTCACATGCCTAACTGCATTCTGACCAAGTTTAAAGCCGATGGCTCAGTTTCTCTGGAAGCAATCTATTTAAATATTGGCATGTACAAAAACAAAAAACGGCTAAAAATGAACCTTTGATACAAGTGTCTGACTTCCTCCAAGAGTCTTTTCTCATGATTTCAGTACATCTACCTGTGTACCAAATTTCAAATCCTTGCTACTCATAGTTATATGCATCTGATTTCAGGGGAGCACTATAGAGCTGTTTGGTCAAATCCTTTTTTAATTCCTGTAAATTTTAATCAAGGGAACAATTTTCTGTAAAGTTTCGTGAGTTTTTGAGGATGTTAAGGCCTCCAAAAAGACAATTTATATGCAACAAACCACTTAGATTAAGGTATCAAAATAAAAGGGGTTAAATAAACAGTTTTTAGCCTTTTTTGTGTTGGTTTGCTGCTAAAAGTCCAAACAAGATATGAAATTTGAAGCTTGTGTTTGTAATGGATAAAATGTGTACAGTTCATGGAGTCTGAATGATTTTAAGAAGGAAAGGAGAGCCAGCAGCTTGTTAGGGGAAAATGTCTCCAAACATCTAAAAGGTCTGACTTTTCCTTGGCCTTTGGTTGATGCCACTGACTCTCTCGCTCTTTGATTATGGAACCTCTACAAACTTTCTGAAATGCAATGTACAGAGATGAAAACATGATGATGATTGTATGTTAAGAAAGGATAAAGGAATCAATACTAGAACAGACAGACAAAGAATGCTAGAAAATATGGTCATGAACGGTTTTTTAATAGAAAAGAATCAATGGTCTGAGATGATCTGTGTTTTCATTACAACAGCTGCTTAATTTGGTCTGTCTTAACTAAAGCAAATTAATAATATTATCTAACATGTTTGTTCAACATTCAATTGTTTCCTATATAACAAAAAGAATAACATATGCCTTTATTCGGTATGAAGTATAGCCTGTAAAGTAGAGACTGACATTTTTTCGGGAATCCCACGGATCACGGGATTCCCGTGGGATTCCCGTGGGATGGGAGTCAGTATTAGTAACGATCACGTGATTGGGACGGTACAGGATTAAACACTAACGGGAGCAGACGGGAGCGGGAGCAAACCGATAATAACTAAAAAAAAACTAGGATCGATGCTAAAAAATTAAATAAAATAGAAAGAAAAAAATCCAGTACTGGCGCGGCGCCGCCATTTTGTATTTTTTTTCCTTTAAGCCTACACTATAATGCGAGTCAAAAAACTACACGACCCAAAAACCAACAGTGATTCCGCTCTGAGTTTTTCACCCGCGCTCAAAAACAACAAGAATGGGGCTCTGTTCCAAAACCTGGGCTGCATCCTCCAAGGACGCGGTCTACCTAGACTGGATCCTTTGAAGTCCTTGAAAATAAGGAGAACGGAAGAGTTTTGGCTGTGAATTCGACCAGGTCTACCCTTCAGCGGGTTTTATCGCCGTAAAGTCTGTTGCTTAGCAACCGCGAAAGTTGACACACAAAGCAGGAAAATAATGAAAACCGAAGTTTCCAAAACTGTTTGTTTATTTATTTCTTTTTTATTGTAAAGTGAACAAAGACTGATGAGAATCCAGAGTGGAATAAAGGTTCCAACCACCGGAAGCAGGAAAAAATCAAATCAAATGTAATCATAGAAACCTTAGTCAGTTAAATAACCTGCTGCTGTCATTCTGCACATCTCTGATGTTGCTGCTATTTTCAAATATCCATCACTCACAGAATTGTATTATTTTTTTTTTTACTCTTCCCTATTATGTGATTCTTATACATTTTTCTAAGGTCCACATTTGTGTGACCATTTTCAATAATCTTTCTGCTGCTGTAAATTTGCCCATTGTGGGACAATAAAGGGATTTTCTATTCTATAAAAGGGGTAGAAAGATATAAGTAAATCTAAACGATGTATGTATTAAAAACATATCTGCAAAATCTCTAATATTAAACAAGAAAAAAATCTTAGTTAAGCCTATTGTGCAAAACAGCAATAAAAAGATAAGAATCCTATCAGATTTATACTGTAGTCCCCACCCAGCAGATATATTAGAATCTGTCCTTAAATTACAGCCAAACCCATTTACACAGTAACAGATAAAAACCTTTAGATAAATCAAACATTACTGCCACATATCTGACTCAATAACCATTAAAACCACTATTTTCATTCATTTCAGACGGAACTATTCACAGACTGGATTATATTAAACTGAACTTCCAATTTTCACCACTGGTCGGCGCCAAGTAATCTTTCCTCTGATCACGGCTTGCTTGGTCTCGCAATGAATCCTGGGTAAAGCAAGGATACATCGACACCCGTCCTTCAAATCAAGCTAAAAGAAGGACGCATTTTAAGGCCGCATAACGAGGAGTCTTGGAATCCGACCAGACCTCGGCGCCGCACTATGACGTAATCGTACTTCGAATCTGGCCTTCTAAGGACGGGTCCTAGGTTTTCGAACAGAGCATGGGAGTGGTGCGGGAGTCATTCTGAATGGGAGCGGGATGGGAGTGGGAGTAATTTCACCAGGAGTGGGACGGGACAGGATTTAGATTTCTACTCTGGCCCGGGATCGGGACGGGACACAATTTTTTTCTGTGGGAGTGGGACGGGAAAGGAGTGAAAATCCACTCCCGTGTCAGTCTCTACTGTAAAGCTTAAGTACTGGTCTATATAATTTCAAGTCAACAACAGTAAAAATTTAATAAAATAGTTAGATAAATGTTAGCCATCTATCAGAGTAACAGCTGTTTTGTGTTTTGCTGAGATTTCTTCTAAAATGCTTTAGCTCCAACAACAAGAATGGAACCAGATAAGGTGTCATTGTTAAATGTATTATATTTTGATTAAAAGATAAATTAAGGAGGGGTGTTTAAACCCCCGCTTTTTCAAGTGACGCCCCGGTAAAAAAAAGAAAAGGAAAAAGATGTTTTCCTTTAGGAAAAGCAAGTAGCTCAGACCATAAAGTGATCGAGTTTCGACTGCAGGCTAAGACTGGCTTGTTGTCTTATCCTGAGCCAAGCTTCCTATTTCTCTGGCAGTAAAACTAATAAACTGAAATCTTTATCTCACAAAGAACACAAGCATTTCTATAAATAATCAATCTGCTTTTAAAACATCTACTTATAGGCTTTTTGTATCAAGCAAATGTTTGTTCCATATGGACTAAAACGTTTTCACACTGTTGTGGACTCATCATGAATTGGATTCTGGACTTTCTTTGCGTCTCTCTACTAAATGTTGGAGCGCTGATGGGTCGATCGTTTCACAGAGTATCATCAGAACTGCTCTGGAAGTTGGATGTAAATACGTTAACAGCACATTTTCTCTCAGCTTAGGCATATCAGCTGTTGGGTTCTGCAGTGATTTTTGGCCGTAATGTTAATCTCCACACAACGTCACTCTTTCCTCCCCTTCCCTGTGTGTAATTGAAAAATATAAAATGTAACACACAGTTTAAGAGGATTTTCCCTTTTTTCTTGAAGACCCGAGAAGTGAGCGCTCCAGCGTAAAGAAGAGACTGGGACATTTTACAGTATCTGAAAGGGAAAGAAAGAAAATCTCCTGGCAGACACAGCATGCGACGCACCATCTGCACTGCCTGGTTGAGCGGCTTGCCGCGCGTAGGAGTGACACAACCTGTCAGGAGTCCACGGCGCTCAGCAACGCACGGGAGCTCCTGCCTAATGGAACACTAAACTCTATAAGTAATCAAACCAAGACAGAAAAAAAACATAATCTGAGTTTGGAAAGAACTTAAATTATTTCCCAAGAGCTTCTTTTTCTTGGCTTGAAGAGTAAACCCAGTCATCAAATTGAGCTATTTACAGTATCCTGCGGCAGCTAAGCTCCCAAAGTTATATCAGAAATGTTATAATTCCATTTTAAAGTAGTTTCTTTTGTGTGGTTGTTATTTTGAAAAAAAAACAACAAAAACCTTAAAGTAAGTTTAGAAGAGTTTTGGCATAATGGTGTTTAATAATGACGACATGAATCACATGGGACTACAAAAGATATAGCATTTATTTTTTGGTTTGTGTGCTGCAAGTTTATTTTTCTATGTTAAATACGATAATCTTAGGTAATTATTGAGGTCCAGAAGTGCTTTAATAAAATAGATTAATAACTGATGAAGTGATTTTTG